TTCGCTCTTGATACCCAGGCTGGAGTGCAATGGCGCGATCTCGGCTCACCGCAACCTCCGCCTCCTGGGTTCAGGCAATTCTCCTGCCTCAGCCTCCTGAGTCGCTGGGATTACAGGCACACGCCACCATGCCCAGCTCATTTTTTGTAGTTTTAGTAGAGACGGGGTTTCACCATGTTGACCAGGATGGTCTCGATCTCTTGACCTCGTGATCCACCCGCCTCAGCCTCCCAAAGTGCTGGGATTACAGGCTTGAGCCACCGCGCCCGGCCCAATTTTTTTTTTTTTAGTTAATTTTTTGTAGAGATGGGGTCCCTTTATATTGCCTAGACTGCTCTGAAACTCCTGGGCTCAAGGGATCCTTCTGCCTCCGCCTCCCAAAGTGCTGGGATTATAAGCCTGAGCCACTGTGCCTAACCTAATTGGCTGCTTTAGATACCTCATCAGTGGAACCTTGTATTGTTTCGGTAGTTTTGTAACTGGCTTATTTCACTCAGCATAATGTCTTCAAGGTCCATCTGTGCTGCAGCACGTGTCCAAGTTGCCTTCCTTTTTAACGCTCATATTTTGCTGTAAGTATAGACCACATTTTGTTCACCCATTCATCCATTGATGGGCACTTATGTTGCTTCTACCTTTTGGCTCTTGTGAGTAATGCTACCATGAACATGAGTGTACAAATATCTCTTGGAGATCCTGCTTTCAGTTTTTTTGGATATATATACCCAGATGTGAGGTCATATGGTCTTGCTCTGTCGCCCAGGCTGGAGTGCAGTGGCAGGATCTCGGCTTATTGCAAACTCTGCCTCCCAGATTGGAGCAACTCTGCTGCCTCAGCCTCCCAAGCTGGTCTCGAGCTCCGGACCTGAAGTGATCCGCCCACCTTGGCCTCTCACAGTGCTAGGATTGATTACAGGTGTGAGCCACCGTGCCCGGCCTGCACCGTTTTGCATTCCCATCAGCAGTACCCAGTATTTTGCATGCCTTCTGTCCCAGTGTTGATTTAATGTCTGCACATCCCCAGCACTGCATCCTTGTCTCCTGCTTCTCAGCCCTTGTCTGGGTTCCCAGAGCTTTCATATCAGGGAGTGCCTAGGTCGTTGTGCTCATTGGATAGATGGGAAGATGAGGTCTCCAGGGGAGAAATGACCTCTCCCAGACCCCAGGCCTGATTCACAGACCTTCCACTTCACGCTTTGCTTCCTGAGCAGCTGATTCGGGCTCTGGCACTCCCTGGAGTGCCTTCATCCCAGGGCCCCCGCAGTCCTTCCACTTCTCACTGGCGCTGTGGTTCCTGTCCCCACAGGTCCAACGGGTGCTCCTCCAAGCGGAGCCTTGGAGGGCAAGGCCGGCACCATTACCTCCAACGAGTGGAGCTCTCCCAACTCCCCCGAGGGGAGCAACGTCTCTGGGGGCAGTCAGGCACTGGACAAGCCCATCGACAATGATGCAGAGGGCGTGTGGAGCCCAGACATCGAGCAGAGTTTCCAGGAGGCCCTGGCCATCTACCCGCCCTGCGGCCGGCGCAAAATCATCCTGTCGGATGAGGGCAAGATGTACGGTAAGGAGCCCATCAGGTTCAGCCCTGGACCTGACGCTGAGGTAAGGGGCGGACACCCTAACCTCGGGGGTCCTGCCAGGCCACGGAGGGGGTGACCGCTTGGGGCTTCTTTGATTGGACACTGCTTTCTTCCTTCCTGGGTTCCCAAGGGATGGGGCTATCTTAGGAGAAGCCTTTGAGGGGGTGTGGAGGGTGGGGTCCCTGGGGGTGAGCAGCTGTGGGACTGAGAAACTTGGAAAGGGTGAGTCTGGGTGGGGTAGAACGTGCCTCCAGAGCAGGTGGGGAGCACCCCACAGGTTGTATCCCACAGGTTCCTGACCACCAGACTGTCCCCCCTTGGCTGTGAAGCATGCTCACTCATCCTCTCTTTCACTCATTCACTCACTCACTCATGCAGCAAACACATATCGAGCCTTCTGTGTGCCTGGTGTGGGTCAGGCAGGTCTAGTCCCAGCCTGTTGTCTGAGTTGTGGGGAATGTGAGCTCACAGATAGATACCTGTTCTACAACGCAGACTGGAGCACTCCTAGGAGAGGCAGGGTGCTGGACACCACTCCCCTAGGAAAGGCCCCCCCAACCCGGCAGAGGCTCCCCAGAAACGGCTTGATCTTCGTGTGTGGCTGGGGTTGCAGAACACAAGAGAAACTGTGCAGCGCCACATGGGAAGGACGGAGCATTTGGCATAGGGCTGCCGTGACTTTTGGAAAAAGACAAAAATTAGCTGGGTGTGGTATTTTCAGTAGAGACAGGGTTTTACCATGTTGGCCAGGCTGGTCTTGATCTCTTAATCTTGTGATCTGCCCGCCTCGGCTTCCCGAAGTTATGAGCCACTGCACCTGGCCAAATTTTTTTTTTTTTTTTTTTTAGACATGGTCTCCTCCCAGGCTGGAGCGCAGTGGCACAATCACAGCTCACTGTGGCCTCGACATCCTGGGCTCAAGCAATCCTCTTACCTCAGCCTCCTGAGTAGCTGGGACTAGGTGCATACGACCATGCCTGGCTAACTTTAAAATTTTTTATGGAGGCCGGGCGTGGTAACTCACTCCTACAATCCCAGCACTTTGGGAGGCCGAGGCAGGTGGATCGCTTGAGGTCAGAAGGCGAGGAGACCAGCCTGGCCAACATGGTGAAACCGTGTCTCTACTAAAAATACAAAAATTAGCCAGGTGTCAGGGTGGCCTGTGCCTGTAGTCCCAGCCGCTTGGGAGGCTGAGGCAGGAGAATCACTTTAACGCAGGAGGCAGAGGTGGTAGTGAGCCAAGATTGCACCACTGCACTCCAGTCTGGGCGACAGAGCAAGACTCTGTCTCAAAAGAAAAGTGAAAAACAAAAAAATAAATTTTTTATAGAGATGATGCCTCCCTGCCGTGAGAAGGTTGGTCTCAAACTCCTGGGCTTAAGCCATCCTCTTGCCTTGGCCTCCCAAAGTGGTGGGACTACAGGCATGAGCCACTTGCCCAGCCTTCCCTAGTTTTTGATTAAACTTACATTTAAGACTTTTAATATTTTTACAAAGTAAATATGGGTCACAGCTGTTCCATGTAGTTTTACATTTCTCTTCTCATACAACTTTTTGGTTTTCCTGGAGATAATGTTCTTGATTTCTTTCATTTGCTCACTTGTTTCTACCTCTATCATTAGTTTATCTTTAAACATTTCAGAAAAGGGAAAATTCTCACTCTTATTTTTTTTTCTTTTTTTAAGAGACACGGTGTTGCTGTGTCACCCAGGTGGGAGTGCAGTGGCACGGTCATATTTACTGCCTCGCTGCAGGCTCAGCCTCCTGAGCTCAAGAGGTCCTGCCACCTCGGTCTCCCGAGTAGGTAGGACTACAGCCAAGTATCACCATGCCTGGCTACTTTTTTTAGTTTTTGTGGAGATGGCGTCTTGCTCTGTTGCCCAGGCTGATCTCGAACTCCTGGGCCCAAGCGGTCCTGCCTGGGCCTCCCAAAGTGGTAGGATTACAGTAGTGAGCCACTGTATCTGGCCTAAAGTTCTTACTATGATCCAGTATACCAGGAGATCTAAGATTTTTTTTTTTTTTTGCCCTGGAAGTAAGCCTCCCCAAGGCCTCTGCCTTCCTGCTTTATTCTATACCAGATTCCCCCGTACCAGACCTGTTGCACAGCTTCCATCCTGGGGTTTTCTTTCTCTACATACTGTGAAGTCCCTTCCACTTCTACTCTTGAAAGTTTGCTTCTTACTTTTAGTGCCTGGGGAAGCATCATGGGGGAGACAGCTGTGTGTGTAGCACCTGGGGGTGCCTGGTGTTTTGGGTGCTTCACATAGGTTGTTCCCATTTAGCCAGGAGGGACACAGCCTCTGGGACCCCCAGGCTCTTTCTCCTGCTTTGGTGGAGGAGGGGATGGATATTGATTGTGAGCTTAGGTGTGGAATGAGAAAGGGCAGGGGGAGGGCAGGGGAGGGCAGCTTGGCTGGGGAGCCATGGTGTGTGCCCTGGCCCTTTACAGGGCACGTCTGTGTTCTTTAGAGGTAGAAATGGGCTGGAAAACCTAAGTGTGCACGAGGCATCCAGCAAGGGGCAAGGGTGGAGGGCGCTGCGGGCATCTGGAGGGCCTGTGGAGATGCCAGAACGTAGTAAATCAACAGATATCTGTAGAATTGAGCACCCCTGAGGACCAAAGGCTTTGAGTACCTGCTTTTTGGTGCTGTGTGTGTGTGTGTGTGTGTGTGTGTGTGTGAAAATATAAGTAACATTTTCCATTTTATTTTATTTATTTATTTATTTTTTTGAGACGGAGTTTCGCTCTTGTTACCCAGGCTGGAGTGCAATGGCGTGATCTCGGCTCACCACAACCTCCGCCTCCTGGGTTCAGGCAATTCTCCTGCCTCAGCCTCCTGAGTAGCTGGGATTACAGGCATGCACCACCATGCCCAGCTAATTTTTTGTATTTTTAGTAGAGACGGGGTTTCACCATGTTGACCAGGATGGTCTTGATCTCTTGACCTCGTGATCCACCCGCCTTGGCCTCCCAAAGTGCTGGGATTACAGGCTTGAGCCACCGTGCCCGGCCCATTTTAACCATTATAGTTTTCAGTTTATAATTGATGGCATTAAATATATTCCTATTGATAAACAGCTATCACTACCACCCATCACCAGAAATATTCCATTTCAAAGCAAAATTCTTTACCTTTTAAAGAGCAATTCCCCATTCTCGCCATCCTCCTCACCCTCCAGCCCTGGCAGCCACCGTTCTGCTTTCAATTTATAAGTTTGACTCCTTTAGTTACCTAATATAAGTGGAATCATACAACATTTGCCCTTTCGTGACTGGCTAATTTCACTTAGCACAAGGTCGTCAACGTTTACCTGTGTTGTAACCTAGGTCAGAGTCTCCTTCCTTTTCAAGGCGGAGTAATATTCCACTGTATAGACCACATCGTTTATCCATTCATCTGCTGACAGACATTTGGGTGGATGCTTAGTTTTATTTAGTTGTTATAGGTAGATGTTTCTGTCCCTGCTTCAGATATAAAGATATTGGGGTTGAGACTGTGACCAAGCCTGGGGAAGCACCAGGCTGTGGGTCTCTGGCAGGCCTTGGGCTGGAATTCTCTTTGGCAGGAGCGAAGCCGCTGTCTTGGGGAAGCAGACTGAAAACGGTTTGGCAAACCGTTCTGGCCATGTTGGCATCTCAGATGCTGCTCCTCCTCTGTGCTGAGACCCAGGGAGGGGCATAGGGTGGGGACAATCGGGGGTGCCTGGAGGAAGAGTGAGGAGGGGCAGAGGCGCTGCTTCACTGTGCTTCATGACATGTCAGCGCTCCCAGCCACTTTCGGTCCTTTCGAGGGTCCCTTCTAGGAGGAAGGAATGGCATCTCTGCTTGCAGATGCAGAACGGAAGTTCAGAGAAGCCAAGACTTTCTCCCAGTCTCTCAAGTCAGAAGTGGAGAGTGGGGCCTGAACCCAGTTCTCCTGCCTCCAGGCTTGGCACTCCTCTGTCAGCTGAAAGGCTTTGCTCCTCCCCTGCCTGGCCCTGGCTCCAGGTGGGTCAGGCCCTGGGCAGGGACCTGGAGGCTGCACTGCAGGCTCTGACAAGCACCGCCCAGCCCCCACAGCACCTGTCCTGCATGAGAAGAGGTCCTGCTGGGACCCGCTTACCCCGTCTCTTCTTACCAGTCCCAAGGCAGGACTGTGTGGGGCGTTGATGGAGGGCTCTTGGCAGGCAGAGCTGACCAGTCCGGCTGGGAGCTATAGATAGCTCTGAGCTCAGCCCCAGTGTGTGGGATGGGCCCTTGGGGAGGCGGAACAGGAGGCCGAGCTGAGAGCTGACTCAGACCTCAGCTCACTGTGGCTGCGTCCCTCCTGTCTTCTCATCTTCCCTTGGGGGACCTGTGCTTCCCATCCTCTGTGTACCCCAGCCCCATTCCGAGCCCCCAGGTGCTTCCAGCATCCCCAAGAGCGCTGGTCTTTTCTCCCCCCTCACCACCCTGCATCCAAAGGCCACCAGTCCCTTTCCAAGTGGGCCGGCCCGGTGGGGTATGGGTTAGGGCTGAGAGGATGCTTCCTGACCTGGGGACCTGGCCTTAGCTATTTGAGGACAGGGGTTAGGCCTGCTCTGAGCTCTGGCCACTGCACACCCAGCATAGGACACACTGACCAGGGCCGGCCAGGCAGACATGCAGATGACATACAAAGCAGCGCGACAGATTAACACCTGCTATTTCTGAGCTAAGTCTCCCACGCTTGTTGGCTCCAGCCCTCCCCTTGAGTACCTCTCACCCTCCTGGGCCGGCTCCTGGGCCCGGGGTGCTGGCCTTCTGTTCACGGCTGCTTCCATTTCTGCCCTGTCACTGTGTGACCCTCCCCCTGGCACAGCCAGCGCTGGCCACTCTGACCTCCTTTGGCCAGGCTTGCAGTCGGCCTAGCCTAGCATGCAGGTGGTGGGATTCAAGCGACTTCTCACCTCTTCTGTCTGCTTCCCGCCTTCTCTGCTTCTCACACTCAGTGCTGGCCGGCTCTGGGGGTTCCTCTGC